TACGTAGAGCAAGAGCAATGAAGGAGACGAGGAGCAGAATAGCGGATGCAATGGCCAAGCTCACCAGTGGTAGTCTACAGTTGTCATACGACACGTAACCAAAGTCGCAATGGCAGCTGGCGCTGAAGTCGGTCACGATGCACACCCCGTGCTGATGACAATCCTGGGAATGGCATGGGGATATTGCAATGCAGGAGCTCGATCCTTCTGTCTCTGTTATTGTGAAATTGGGACACGGTTTGCATCCGCCATGTAAAGTTGAAGAAAATAAACCATGCGGACAGGGTTGACACGTCTTATGCTCATGCAACTCGTAACCCATCGGACAGAGCTCGGTACCAATCGTTAGATATGTTTCTTTGTCAATGGTGGTTGACCATCCCGAGAATACATAGAGACGCTGCCCTCTCAAGATATGGTGATCAAAGATGCTGATTACATTTTGATGGTTGAAAAGGGGCACTACTTTTCCTTGCGATAGCAGGTTGGAAGTGTTCAGAAGGATAAGCTGTGCAATCGTGTCTTGTTGACGGTGGCTAGTCCAACCACCGAACAATAGTATGCCATTCTTGTTGTACTGAACAGTAGCGAAACGTGTTCTCCTAGGCAGACAGGGCTTAACGGAAGACTTGATGGATCCGAATTGTACCGTTGTCTAAGTACCGGGAGATATCCAGTGCCATTATGTAGTCAGTACATGCTGACGACGTGTCTCCGAATACGAAAAGTGTATTATTGATGCGCGTTGTTTGCGGATTGCGAAGACTTGGCATTACTGCGCCCAAGAAATTCGTGGGTTTCAGAATCTTCCACGTTCCTTTACACTGGCCTATACTGTCAAATGTGAGTACCCAGATATCAGAGACATCTGATGACATTGTGTTCTTGTTCTTTCCCTCGTAGACCAGAAGATGTCTGTCATCGAGTCGTACTGCCATATGACCGTATTGTGTCGACGGTTGAACTGTGCCAGCGTTAGTAAATTCCATACAGGTGAAGTTCATTATATTAATGCACCACATGATTGTGCGGGGATGCAGAAGACTATCAATGTACCCAGTACCTAACAAGAGTACCACACCAGCAGTAAGTTGTGTAGCAGTTGATCCAGTAAGATCACGCATGGAATGTTCTGTACATTTTGCCATCGTTCTAGTCTCATACTCATTCGTTGTCGTATCAAGGATCCAGTAGACATTGTGACGTATGGCTTGTTGTCCATCTGACCAGAGGCATCCAGAGCCGGGCAAGAATATAGCTCTCTCCTTTCCCAGTATGGTTTGTAAAACAATTCCACTCCATACACAGCCCAACCCTGCAGGTAGACGGTAGGCTGGCCTGAAGGCATCGTATATCATCTCCTCGACGAAATCATTGCACCCGCGCTCAGTGTTCTCAGCCAAGCTGGGGCAAGTGGACAAGGGTGCTGCAGGCCGTATGGTCCACTCCCGCTCTACCGTCCCAAAGAATGCACCGACTTCGCCACCAACTGAGTGATAAGGAGAGCTAAACCGGTTATAATTGTTCACCGTAGATGTCAACTTGGATTCCTGGGTCAGTATTCGTCGACAGGACATTGTGCTAGATGGAGAGATAATATTATGGTTCTGTGGCACACTGCATACCTCAACCACACGCAGAATGCGGCGATCAGAAAAGTGCAGGAGAATCTTCGATTCGTTCGCAAACAAGACTGCGCGCGGTCTGTTGGCGACTGCCAGCTTGTCTGCTGTCACAGAGACTGGAAACAACTGGCGGCCATGTCCGGAAAGGCGACATATGTCCGTGGCGTTGTTGTTGCGAGACGTCCAAGCGCGCTTTTGGACATTGAAGATCCAAAACGTGCAGTAGCTATTCACATCTGGAAGTTCGTTCATTCTGGGATTGTGTGCATGATAGGCTGGCACTCCACCGTACACAATAATGGTGTGGTTGACGGCAAGTAAAGATGGAAAAAGAAGAGGACGAGGGCGAAAGGGCGAATGAACCTCTTCTAGCTCTCGCCATTGAGTGCCTTCTATATGATCTCCCGTCTTACTTAGAATGTGCATGTATCGCAGGCTGAGGAAATCGTGCAATATCTGTCCAGTTCTGAAATATTCGTCATTCTTGGTAGATCTTTAATGCACACAAGGCCACCGTAAGAAAACACCCGATACATATTGTCGTACTCTTCGTCATCTCTCAAGGTCACAGTTGACTGAAGATATCTTGCACTGCCCGCACTCACCGTTGGCGTATTCACTCTTCGTAGTTGCATATCTCTCCACACGAACATCATGTCGCATTCTGGCCAGGGTCCGAAGTCGTAAAAGATGAGGTCTCTTCTGTTAGGTGATGTGGCAAGAGCGGGCGTAAAAAACGAAGACCGTCGACACAGCGAACCAAGGTCCGGGTATGTCAACTCCGTTACGTGCCTCCATGATCTCAAACCAGGATTAGAAACCTCCATTGCAACCAGGGTGTCTGTACGTTCCACAGATGATGATCCCTGCGGCTTTCTCCCTGAAGATATCAGCCTCACAATATGCTCTGCCACACGGTAGCGAGTGGACCGCAGAAGCACAGTGCTGGCCGGGGTGGAACGGACAAAAGCAAATTTCGACATTCGATAGTCAAGCAAGTGTGGATATTGGTAAACATTATGGAAATCAAGTGGTGCTGCAAGCCGGCTAAGGCTGCCGTCTGCCACAGTGTCAAGGACGGTTACAGTACCACCAGTAACCAGAAGAACTGATGCGAACACATCTAAAACCACGACACAGACAATTCTCCGCGCGGAGGAACGCATGATCAAGATGTCAAGAGGGCGACACGTCCAAGGCAGCCTTTCTGCGCTTGTTCTACGTTATAATAAAAGTCTTTCGTAGACCCAGAGAAACTTCCTCAGTAGTTGACTGTGTTTCTCAACACAATTGTACAACTGGTTGTAACGCGGACGTGCAAACTTTATTTTTACTTGTATACCCAATCTGTTAGTAAGGAGTTGCATAGGAAAGGGATAAGATCCTGAACAGCTTGCATGGTGCACGCTGTCCGCTTCTTGAGAAGGAACGTTGGATCGATATGAGACACTGCATACAAGACACGGCGGCTGCTCACAACTAGGGCCAATGGTACTTCCACATTGTCATAGCTTCCTCCATTGTGTTTTCAAGAAACACATGTGCACAGGTATATAGTCTGCGGATCATGGAAAACGATAGCTTAATTGATTTAAAACACAATCATGTACACTGCACATCTGGTTTGGTTGTTCTGCATCCTGTCACACTGCCAGCAGGCAGCCACTTTCTGACAGTGGTGGAGAGGCACCTGACACGTACACTTTGGATAAGACTGCTGTGGGGAATAAACTATGTGCTTCAGGAAAACGTGCACGTCGCAATTCCGACAGAGAATCAGCAATCAATTTCATTTCTACCTTAATGAAGATCATTCCAGACTACAAAAAGGAGTCTAAGAGAAAAAAGAGATGAAAATGATGGTGTGTAGTGTGTAGTGTGTAGAGCTGCTAGTGTACATGTACATGTAAGTCTGAAAACAATAGTAGTGGTTCACAGGCCATCCAGGCAACACCTTATGTACGGCCTGTGAAACGGTTTACTGTAGAACTCTCTCCGAATTATTATTTAAGAAGCTTTTTCGTAAGAGCACTCTACAGTAGGCTTTCCCCAAATCGGCAGGCCGAAAAATTCGCCGAAAACGAGACTTGTAGAAAAATCGCTAAGCTTGTCGCCGATTTTGGAGGGTTCCTTTGAGAATCGCCCAAAATCTACCAAATCATTTGTTGCAAAGTGCGTTTACGAACAAATGATGTTGCTGCAAACGTGACTGCTCGAGCTCTCTACTTCAGACTTGCAGTACTGAGGTCATGTGACTCGTGTCCTTTAAAGGGGAAATTAAGGCAAAAATCAAAATTTCACTAGTTGTAGTCTTCGGGGTGCTGAGTCGAATGGTCTTGGTCCGAGAAAGCTGAGACGCTCCCTTCCTACTTGAATCCCAATCGAACTCGCGCACTCCACCGAAACTGGGTGACTGCGCCCTACTAGATGGGGATTTGTATGCAAATGTCACTAAAAGCGCCATTTCGTTCTTATAAAAGCACGGATGACCGCGATTGGCCCATATGTTGTAGTCTTTTGGACGCTGAGTCGACTGGTTTTGGTCCGAAAAGGCTGTGATGCAGCGTTCCTCCTTTATTCCCAATCGAACATGGTTGAACAAGTGGTCACGTGCTCCTGGGTGCCCAAATCACCTGCCAAGCTACAGCTGCTCTTGTCTTGCCTGCCTGCCACTCCCGGTATGGTTTCCATTCCATTGCGTATCTTGGTGCCGACAGGTGGAATGCGGCTCCTCCATCTTGTCGCCTGGCCGAGTCGCCTGCTTTGTTTCGCGCTCACACAAAGTCTCATTTAGGGTTCCCAGTAAAAGGCAACATTGCCTGTGGGAAATCCCTAACAAAATAAGAAGAAAAAAAAAAAATAATAATAATAATGGTCACCACGCCAGCAGGCGACAAATTTCACACCAAGGTTCAACTCGAGTTCAACTCGAGTGACAGGAGTGCACCCAAAAAAGGTCAAACAGGCTAGTAAGTTAAAGTTGTACCCTGCAGGCACGGTGACCAGGTGACTGGTGTACGCAGGAGCACGTGACGTGACCGCTTGTTCAACCATGTTCGATTGGGAATAAAGGAGGAACGCTACATCGCAGCCTTTTCGGACCAAAACCAGTCGACTCAGCGTCCAAAAGGCTACAACATATGGGCCAATCGCGGTCATCCGTGCTTTTATAAGAACGAAATGGCGCTTTTAGTGACATTTTGCATACAAATCCCCAACTAGTAGGGCGCAGTCACCCAGTTTCGGTGGAAGTGCGCGAGTTCGATTGGGATTCAAGTAGGAGGGAGCGTCTCAGCTTCCTCGGACCAAGACCATTCGACTCAGCACCCCGAAGACTACAACTGGTGAAATTTTGATTTTTTGCCTTAACTTCCCCTTTGAATAAATAATAAATTTCACGGTTCGCGTGAGACTCGGCTAGAAGTCGAGTTTTCCGCATCCGCCGTGGGAACGCCACCACCCTCTAGGATCAAGTCGCAGATGCAGCGCCTAAACGGTGGGAGGTGAGTAGATCAGACCCACCACCAAGTGGTCAAAGACCGAAATCCCATTAGCTGCATCGTGTCCTTTGACCTCCTCTCAAACAAACATTAGCCATTAGGAAGATCGTTACTAGTAAAATACCACACTACAACGTACAGTTGTGGCCAATTCCATCTAGCAGAGGCTGTATTTCTAGTATCTCACCACTTTTGAAGCTAATATGCCAACAATTCTTTTAGCCGATTTTCCAATATATTCCAATTTTGCAGCCGATTTTCGTACAATCAGCTGATTTTGCAGCTGAATCTGATGTATTTTCGAGCTTAGCGAAAAGCCGAATAGGGGAAAAACGGGCCGGGTTCGGGGAAAGCCTACTCTACAGCATCGACACTCTTGCAGTGACTTGACCTTGATGCTATAATTACTCTTCTGCTTGTCTCTTCTTTTTCGTCCTCCATCTCTTACCGGTTTTCCCATAGCAGGTATCTCATCACTCAACCGAACACAGGAATCCCCCTCGACAGGCGATAATACAATACAATATAAACCATGTGGTGGTTCGTTGCTGAGACTGGTTTACAACAGAGTAGTGGTTGTGTAAGTTCCATCAAGCCAGGTCATGAGACCATTATCATTGAAGTAGGCGAGAGCTGAAGACGCTGACAGATAATCAAAATCACCCTGATGATGCGTGGTAAGTCTGTTTTCAACTTTATTCACACCAGATGCATAGCACATGGACCACACATGCATACATGAGTACCGGTACATGTACACACTCACACCTTCCGGTAATCGGGGTTCGGGTTAACCGAAAACAGCCCAGCTCGAGAGAAGGCGTGTTGCAGGAACTGAGAGATCAGAATAATATCAAGCACTCACTTGTTGAACTTCCAGATCATGGAGTTTATCGCTGAAGCATGGACAGTTGGCCGCTTCCCGGTCTCAAGCAGGCCTCGACCAGGTGGCGATAGTCATAGGGCATACCCGGTGGAATAGGCAGCTGGTGACCATTCTCTATTGCCTTCTCCACGTCCGTCTCACGCTTCAGATGTCCGTATGGCGTTTGCCTGGTGGAGATCTCCCAAAGGACAACGCCATAGCTGTGAGAATGATGACAAGAGAAAAGCACCATACAGGCAAACAATCAACTACACATGTACATGACAAATAAGGCAGGGCCGTAGCACCCGGTCCGGCGGGGTAGGCCGCGGCTGGGGCTGTCTTTGACAGCGTTTACCCACCCACTTCATGCACAATGTGTGTTTTTGTCAACGATGTTCATTTCTGGCCAAGTATCATATTTGACCTAACCAGATGAGAAATCCCGATGCTACCCTATAAAGTCATGCCTGGGAAAAAGGGAATAGAATGCAATGGGAAGAAAATCTGACTTTCACCATCCTGTCTTGTACCTGTACCTCTGCTATCGGCCATCAATCAACTACACATGTACACATGTAATATGAAATGAAACAGTGCCTTAGAACCTGGTCCGGCTGGTTAGGCCATGGCTGGAGCTGTCTTCGAAAACGTTTACCCACCTAATTCATGCAAAATGTTTTTTTTTGTCAACAATGTTCATTTCCGCTCCAGTATCCCATTCGACGGGACCAAATGAAATCCCGATGCTGCAACCAGGTAAACACACGCCTGGGAAAAACAGAATGCAATGGGAAGAAAATCTGACTTTCACCATCCGGTCTTGTACCTGTACATTTGCTCTCGGCCATCATGTTACATTTCAAAGCTAAAGGGTCTCCACCGTTTCTTCATTTTCTTTTGAACTGTGGTCACCATGGCACGAGAGTACTTTTTACAATGAAGAGAAAGCTAACACTAACAGGAATGCGAAGGCAACACTTCGCAAAATGCATGAATCTGAGAGTAGACTACACTAATTTGTTGTATGTATCCTAGATCAAGAAAGTGTAGGGTACGAGTACATGGTTGTTCAGAACTACACGATCGTGGGAGGGCTCTGTACGGGTACGGTGGTAAGTTATAATTATTATGAGTAATCGATTGTGAGCACCGGAGTGCAGGGATACACTGTACACCATGATATGATATACCGGATAGTGCAAAAGTAGTTCAGCGCAGCGTAATTTTTTATGTAGTAAGGGCGCTGGCCCCGGTCATGCCGTCATCGGATTTCAATGTCCACGACAGTACAATACCAGTACTAGTGTACTGCCCCCTGTTTAGAATCAAAACAATAAAAAGTACTTTTGCTGAGAGCAGGTGGTATTTTTTGTTTCGGGAGAAAGCAGCTGTGCTCCACAATACACAGCGTGTCTGTGATCGTGGTTTCTTAGAGTGATTTTAGAATTACACCTTTCACAAATTTCACACTCACCTGTAGATATCGGCTTTCTCGTTGTAGTGCTCGCCACGCACTGACTGCGGTGATTTCCAGCGCAGAGTCCCCACGCCGCGAGTCATCACTGATGCCGAATAGCGCTGATACGTCTCTCCATGGTTTGTGGAGACGTCGGTGAGTAGAGGCGTTGACAGATTGGTCTCCTGGCTTCCTGATAGTGCGAGCGAGCTCTTGGAATCATGCCTGTCAAGTACTGCTCCGGTACAAGGAGGCTCGATAAGTACATTTTCCTTGGGGCTTTCGCCTACGGACTGCGCGCCCGCCGCCGTGTTTGATGACTGCGTCAGGCCAGTTTGAGCGGCACTAGCACTGGTGCTGATTGCTGCTGTCGCGTCGCCTTCTCCTCATCCAGAATGGCCATAAATCGCGAGTTGCCAAGATCGCCGATTTTCACCACCCACTTGTCGCTGACTAGAAGGTTGGGAGATTTCAGGTCTCGGTGCAGACGTGGCGGGTTGGATTCGTGCAGATACCAGGATACGTCATACCTCGGGCTGTGTCCAGGCCAGGGCAAATCTCAGATGATCATGGTGTGTGAACACGTGACCGCCATCGTGGAGTACATTGTGGAGAGAACCTCGCCGCAAGTACTCCATCACGATAAACGGTCTTTTGCTGGAATGATTTGTGCCAGCTCCCAAGAAGATGACGATGTTGGGGTGACGAATTGAACGCAGGACCTCAGCTTCCTGGGCGAACTGGTCTGTCTGCAAGGTATTTCTACCAGTATATTTGGGGAGTACATGTACTTTCACAGCTACTAACATGTCGCTGAACTCGGCTTGCCACACTTGCGAGAATGCTCCCCTGGCCAGTTTCTTGGTGAGGTTCAGCGATGACCAGCGTATTCTTGCTCCGATGTTGATCTGGTCTAGCTTCTTCTGATACAGTCGCATACTCTTGTGCTTGTCCTGCAGCTCTCTCTCCTTGAGCTTGAGTTGCTGGCTTCCGGTGTGGTATTTACGTAGAGCAAGAGCAATGAAGGAGACGAGGAGCAGAATAGCGGATGCAATGGCCAAGCTCACCAGTGGTAGTCTACAGTTGTCATACGACACGTAACCAAAGTCGCAATGGCAGCTGGCGCTGAAGTCGGTCACGATGCACACCCCGTGCTGATGGCAATACTGGGAATGGCATGGGGATATTGCAATGCAGGAGCTCGATCCTTCTGTCTCTGTTGTTGTGAAATTGGGACACGGTTTGCAACCGCCATGTAAAGTTGAAGAAAATAAACCATGCGCACAGGGTCGACACGTCTTATCCTCATGCAGCTCGTACCCCATCGGACAGAGCTCGGTCTCAATCGTTAGATACCTTTCTTGCTGTCTGGTGATTGTCGTTCGCGAGAATACATAAAGACGCTGCCCTCTCACGATATGGTGACCATAGCTGTTGATTGTATTTCCATGGTTGAAAAAGGGCACCACCCTGGCCTGCGCTTGTATGTTAGAAGTACTCAGAAGAATAAGGTCTGCAATCTCGATATCGAACAAAGACCGACCACCAAGCAATAGTATGCCATTCTTGTTGTACTGAACACTAGCGAACCGCCTTCTCTTACGCAGCCAGGGCCTAACGGAGACTTGGTTGATTCGAATTGTACCGTTGTCTAAGTACCGGGAGATATCCAGTGCCACTATGTAGTCAGTACATGCTGACGACGTGTCTCCGAATACGAAAAGAGTATGATTGATCTGTGCTGCTCGCGGATTGCAAAGACGTGGCATTACTGCGCCGAAGAGACTCGTGGGTTTGAGAATCTTCCATGTTCCTTTATACTGGCGACATATGCCTGTGGCGTTGTTGGTGCGAGACGTCGAAGCGCGCTTTTGGACATTGAAGACCCAGAACGTGCAGTAGCTATCCACATCCGGTCGTTTGTTCGTTCTGGTATTGTGCACATTATACTTTGGCACTCCACCGTACAAAATAATGGTGTGGTTGACGGCAAGTAAAGATGGGAAAAGAAGAGGACGAGGGCGAAAAGGCGAATGAACCTCTTCTAGCTCTCGCCATTGAGTTCCCTCTATATGATCTCCTGTCTTACTTAGAATGTGCATGTATCGCAGGCTGGAGGAAATCGTGCAATATTTGTCCAGTTGTGGAAGTTTGATCAATTGCGGTAGATATTTAGTGCACTGAAGGCCACCGTAAGAAAACACCCGATAAGTATTGGCGTGCTCTTCGTCATCTCTCAAGGTCACAATTGACTGAAGATATCTGCCTGTGCTCACCTTTGGTGCATGTACTCTTCGAATCGAATGGTCTTGGTCCGAGGAAGCTGCGACGCTCCCTTCCTTCTTTTTCCCAATCGAACCTGCGCACTTCCACCGAAACTGGGTGACTGCGCCCTACTAGATGAGGATTTGTATGCAAAATCTCACTAAAAGTGCTATGTTGTTCTTATAAAAGCACGGATGACCGCGATTGGCCCATATGTTGTATAGTAGTCTTTTGGACGCTGAGTCGACTGGTTTTGGTACGAAAAGGCTGTGATGCAGCGTTCCTCCTTTATTCCCAATCGAACATGGTTGAACAAGCGATCACGTGCTCCTGGGTGCCCAAATCACCTGGTCACCACGCCAGCAGGCGACAACTTTCACACCAAGGTTCAACTCGAGTGACAGGACCCAAAATAGGTCAAACAGGCTAGTAAGTTGTACCCTGCAGGCACGGTGACCAGCTGACTGGTGTACGCAGGAGCACGTGACCGCTTGTTCAACCATGTTCGATTGGGAATAAGGAGGAACGCTGCATCGCAGCCTTTTCGGACCAAAACCAGTCGACGCAGCGTCCAAAAGACTACAACATATGGGCCAAGCGTGGTCATCCGTGCTTTTATAAGAACGAAATGGCGCTATTAGTGGCATTTTGCATACAAAGCCCCATCTAGTAGGGCGCAGTCACCCAGTTTCGGTGGAAGTGCGCGAGTTCGATTGGGAATAAAGGAGGAAGGGAGCGTCTCAGCTTCCTCGGACCAAGATCATTCGACTCAGCACCCCGAAGACTACAACTGGTGAAAATTTGATTTTAGGGTATACTTCCCCCTTAACTTTATTCCGCATTTGTCTGTATCTATCTGCATCAACATTTTTAGCCCCAACTATGACTCTCCCTCTCAATCCTCATGCACCACCTTTTATACCCCATGCATCTACGCCGACTCAGTCTGGCATAAAGATAGCCACGCTCAATGCATGCAGCTTTTAAGCAAAAGATACAAACTCCCAGAGATTGCCAGCCTCATCCGCACGCGTCAGTACGACATATTGGGTCTATCAGAGACATGGCTAGATCCCGAGATTACTGACGGAGAGCTCAGTATTGACGGGTACAATCTGATTCGAAAAGACCGCACTCAACGCTTGGGTGGCGGAGTCTGCTTCTACTACCGTCAAGATCTCCCAGCTCGCTGAGGACTGGAACCATTCCATCCGCATTTAAATTGGCGTCTGTCGTGCCACTGTACAAGGCCGGTGACCCATCAGTCCCCACCAACTATAGACCTGTATCCCTTCTCCCAATAGTGTCCAAGTTGCTGGAGAGGGTAGTGCAACACCAGTTAGTTCGTCATTTGGACTTGAGCAAGGCATTACCCGAAACACAATTTGCCTTCCGCAAGAAATGCTCTACGGAAGACGCCCTCTGTGTGCTGACGGATAATCTGCAGAAGGCGAGAGACAGTGGCAAGACCACAGGACTGTGCCTATTAGACATGTCGAAGGCTTTTGATAAAGTGCACCACGACAAGTTGATCCAAGACCTCCTTGCGGTTGGAATTTCTGGAAAAGCCCTTAGTTGGTTCGTCGACTACTTGTCCGGCCGCAAGCAGCAGATCCTCATCTCGCCTTCAACCAGCCCTGCTCTGGCTTGCACCTGCGGAGTGCCCCAAGCCCAAGGCTCTGTTCTCGGCCCTGTCCTCTTCAGTATAATACACGAGATGTCCCTTTGGTTTCCTCGCCTGTGCCAAGTGTACAATTTGCAGATGACATAGCCCTGTACGACTCCCAGGCCTCAGCGGCGGAAGCGTCCAGAACCCTCACCACAGCGGCAACTGCTCTGGCCAATTGGCTGAAGTCTCGAGGCCTCATCTTGAACGCCGCCAAGAGCCAGGTTCTGACTATCTCTCCCCAGCAGCACGTACAGGAAGTAGCAGTCAAAAGCGGCGACTGTCTCCTCCCTTCAGCGTCTTCTGCGCGCTACCTCGGCGTTCACCTTTTGACAATCGCCTAGACGCTCTCGTCAGGTGTATGTGAAAGCGGTCATAATGCCCGACCTGCTTTATGGCTCCTCTTGCTTTTCAGCCGCAATGCGAGAGGGTCAACTGAAACGACTGCAAACTGCGCAAAACAGAGCCATCCGCTGTATCGATGGCAACCCACCCCGAACAGCCATGCAGCCGCTGCTCACTAGCACTGCTCACTCCCTGTACCGTGTCGCTACTACAGTACAGTACCGGTACTAGCAAGAGTACTCTTGGTACATGACTGTACTAGTATCGTCACGTGTGTACGTAAATAAGTGAGTCTCACCTAGTAGTAGTAGGGAGTCTACTACATGTAGTAGTAGTACCTGGGCCTTGTGCTAGGTAAATGTTTGTTGTGGTGGCCAGGCGGTAACGATCATGACTGCTAGTATTTCTGTTGCACAACCTCCGTTGCCCTCCGGTTCCGATATCACGTTCCACACAACACAGCGAAAAAGCCTACAATCTCCGTGCATGGTCTCTGGTAGGTGCTAGCGCCTTGACCGGAGAATGTGCGACCATTTTGACAATTGATAGAATTGCACATACCGGTATAATTATGACTGTCTCCTTTATTCACTCCTTTCGAAGGCGATAAGCCAGTCCCACCGGGAAGATAATTCCATGGGTGGGACAGCAAAAGAAAGTGAAAAAATATACAACCCTAAAAACCAAAGGGACAAGAAATAGGGGAAGGAAGAGGAAGAAAGGAAAGAACCTCAATCTGAACTCCAATATCAAAACAATAATAAAGAATTTGCAGCAATAGGCATTCTACAAGTGATAAGGACGTTGAGATCGGTCAAAGCTCGAAACTTGGTGAGCCGAATGATGTTGCTAGGGGATTTATTATGACATTGGGATTCGGAATCGGTAACAGTGTATTACTGAGACCTCTATAGAGTCCACTCTGAAGTAGCACAAGGGACAAAAGCCGACACCAGACTCAGGTATGGCCTATGCAAATTGTAGCCAAGTGCAAAAGCCTAAACTGGGCAGCGTCAGAGTGCTAAATCAAAGTACATCAACCAGTAAAGGGAGTAACAAAGGAAATATCTTTATCAGTCTCAATCCGGATTAGGATTGGTGGTTACACAAAATTTACTTGTCAAGTAATTAAAATTAACGGCTATACTGTACCCAAGTCTGTAGTACTACGAGCCATAATAATAATAAAACTGTGTCGGCTAATTTTAGCGCCAGTGATGTTTTAACGAAAGGAGTGTTTTC